AAGTGTGTATATATATATATATATATACAAAATAAAATAAAAATACTAGATGAAAAAAAAGAAAATTACAAATGTTGCCTTGGCAAATTACTGAAATAAGTTTAAGCTGAAGCAATAAAACTGCTAACTGGAAATATATATATATATATTATTTATTTATTTATTTTTATAAAAATAAATTAAACCTAAGTAGTAATATCTAAAAAGAACAAAAACTATAAAAAAATGTCAAAAGCACATAAACTACAAAAGGGTAACCTAAAATTAAAATAACTGAAAATATAAAAATAAAAGTTAATTTAAAATATTAACTACTATAGTATTAGGCCATAAATAATGCTACAATAAAGCATGAATGCCCCTTTTTCGATGAAAATACATCAGTTTCTAACTAAAAAAAGCTCTGTATTTATTCATTAATCATGCTTGCGTTTCTCTCTAAGACTCGCTTTAATTTCCTCCAGATGTGACGCCATGCTGCCTGTGAAGCCGGTCTGAAAGCAGGTTCCTGTCATGCAAAGGTTTTGGATGAGTATGTCTATAAATTAAACCTAAGTAGTAATATCTAAAAAGAACAAAAACTATAAAAAAATGTCAAAAGCACATAAACTACAAAAGGGTAACCTAAAATTAAAATAACTGAAAATATAAAAATAAAAGTTAATTTAAAATATTAACTACTATAGTATTAGGCCATAAATAATGCTACAATAAAGCATGAATGCCCCTTTTTCGATGAAAATACATCAGTTTCTAACTAAAAAAAGCTCTGTATTTATTCATTAATCATGCTTGCGTTTCTCTCTAAGACTCGCTTTAATTTCCTCCAGATGTGACGCCATGCTGCCTGTGAAGCCGGTCTGAAAGCAGGTTCCTGTCATGCAAAGGTTTTGGATGAGTATGTCTGTTCAATTTGATGCATTTATTGACTTAAGTATGGTGTTATAAACCTTTTACAGCTTAAATCAGTCTTCTGCATCATCTCTCTTGCGAACATCAAGCACTAGATGGCGCTATCGCATAACTCTGATCTTGTTCCTGACAGTAATGACCCTTCAGTAGGTCCATCTGATGTTCACGTGAAATCTGCTTCTGACAGGACGCTCATTGGAAGGATCTCCTGGATGATGAGGGATTTTCTGTGGTGTCAGATGTATTTTGAGAAGATGAGAAAAAAAAGGTCAGTAAAAAAAATCACAAAAGACGAGCAGTGGGTGGTAGAGCGATATCAATTTGATTTAAAACTCATAAAATACATCATCAGAAAAATAATTAATCTGTGTTTTGTGGTTATTAGGCACTTTATTAAAAAGGAAACTGATGACTCAGGACAAAGAGAAAAGAAAGAACAAATTACCGTAGAAAAATGAGCTGTAGAGGAGACCGGGGCTAGCTGTCACACCTTTTTTCCTGTGTTTTATATATATATATATATATATATATATATTTTTTTTTTTTTTTTTTTTAAAA